GACTGAGTCAAAGTTTTACAGAACAAATCTTTTTATTAAGGGGATTATTCTGTGAAGTTTGGATTCAAAGGGCTGCACTTGAGGACTTAGAGGGCCACATGTGGCCTCGAGGCTTCAGGTTCCTCACCCTTGGTTTAGGGGAAAGAAAATGAGTTTCATTATGAGCATGTTAAGTTTAAAACACCTATGGGATATCCAGGTGAAGAGGACCAACATCAGACAGATATGCAGGATTGGAGCTCAGGGAACAGATTAAGGACTGGACCTTTCAAACTGGGAGTTATCTTTATAGACATACTATTTGAATCCATAAGAAGTGCTAAGATCAAGAGGAAAGGGCTAGGACAGAATCATGTAAGATACTCAGGCATGGGGATGAATGCACATGGATTATCCAATAAAGGAAACTAAAAAAGAAGAGTCAGCTAGATAGGAAAGAACCACAACAGAGTAGTATCAGCAAAATCCAGGGAAGGAAATATATAGAAGGGGCAGGGCTAGCCCTGAAAAGAAGACAAGATAATGAGGAGAAAAAAGGACTGCATCATTTCAATTAAAAACAATCAAACCAAAAATAGCAACAGCAAAAAATGGTAATGATCTTGTTAAAAAGCAATTTCAGTCATTTAGAAATCAGACTGGAAAGGCAAAGGATGTAGATAGGTTTTATCTAAGCATGTAGAATGATAGCTCGAAAGGTAGAGTCAAGGGAAGTTTTTGTTTGTTTGTTTGTTTTTGCTTTTAAAGGATGCAAGAGATCTCAGAATATCTGTACGAAGCAGAAAAGGAGCCAGCAGATAAGAAGTTAAAAATGAGGAAGCATATGGTTCAAGGGGCAAGTTCATGGAAGAAATAGGAAGGGATGTGATCCAGGACACAAGATGATGGGTAGAGATTGGCAAGGAGAAGGGTCATCTTACCAGCCAAAGCTGTAAGTACAAGAAATAACAGGGGATGATGTTGAAGTCATCTGAAGTATGGAATTGAAGAGAAGAGTGACATGACATTTGTCTCAATTTTTTCTATGAAGTATGAGGTAAGGTACTCTGTTTAATGAGTATGAAGAGAATGCTATAAGAAGCTTCAACAGAGATAGTGAAAGCAAACTGATTCAACTAGAGAAAAGTAAAAGTAGTAGCATGCATCAATGAAGTCTTGGTTAAGATTGGATGACATAAATTTGTAGTGGACCCAGTCATCAGAGTTGTATGACTTTTTTCAATGGTGTCCTATAGCACAAGGGCAGGAGCGGAGAAGGTAGATTTTTGGGAATAATCTAGATTTTGACTTTGGAAATGGATGAACAAATATAGGATAATTAACATCAGTGCAGAAGTAAGTCCAATCTCTTATAACAGGTGATTTTTTACTTTGGCCCGGGGCTATCAATATATGAAGTAAATAACTGTAACTAGTTGGTTACTATAGATATTCTCTACATTGCAACTCAGGCAATTTGAGATAAAAGGAAGAAAAATAATAAAATGTTAAGATTACATATAAGACAAAACAATTCAGATACAACACAGATTCTTACTTTGGATCTTACCAGAATAAAGCTTTCAATTATTTCTGATATCAACTGGGTGAGTTAAGAATTTAGATTTTATCTTTAACTCTGGGCCATTGTAAAAGCAGGCCAAACATCTGGGTACAAATTTGTACCTGGGATGCAATACACATGGTACAACATTATGACTTATAGCAAATTGGATTATATCTTAACAATTAGCTGGGACCGCTGATAGAAAAAATCAGGGACACAAAGATGACAAAAATGAGAAGTGTCCTTTGACAAGGGTTTCCTGAAAAGCAACCTACTCTGGGAACCAGAAACAACTGACAAAAGGAAGGTAACAGTACTGTATGATATGGGATTTACCACAGTCTCAGAAAATACTTTCTCATATCCAAGTGGAACTATAGTTGCATGCTTTCTAGCTGCTATCTTCTCAATGAATCCTCTTGATTTCATCTCCTTGTTTTTCATCATTGAGCTTTATTGTTTCCTTTCCTCAATTTCCACATCATTCCTACTACTCCTTCCTAAATATTCTTCTATTCTTGCATCTTTCTTTGCTTAATCAAAACAATCCAGTTAGAAGAAACAGAAAAGAAAATGAGTAGAAATGACACAACTTAGGTGAACTCCATTCATTACCAACTTATTCAGACTAGATAAAGAAATTTGACTTCTATGCAGCACTCTCAAAATAAAGAACAATGAAAAAACTAAAGGCAATTTCTTAAAAATATAATTTCTGACTCACTGAATTGACTTTTTAGGTCAAGTCAACAAAGAAATCACAAAAGACCATCCATATGACATAATATAGAGGATACTATATAACAAAACTATTTCTTCAGAAACTGTTGTTTGCCATTTTTTTAAATTTAATTAATTTATTTTGATTTATCAACAATCACTTCCATATGCTTTTGTGTTGAAAATTTTTCTCCCCCTTCCTCCCCCTCCCCCTCCCCAAGACAGCCCACAATCTGATATAGGCTTTACATTTACATTCCTATTCAACATATTTTCACATTAGTGAAGTTGTAAGTAAAAATTAAAACCAATAGGAGTAAACATCAGAAAGATGAAACAAAACTCAACAGAAGGTAAAAATAAGTGAGAGCGATTCGACTTCCATAGTTCTTTCTTTGGATGTGGACAGCATTTTCCATCCCGAGGCCTCTGGAGATGTCTTAGATCCTTGAAATGCTGAGAAGGGTTCAGTTTAACAATATTAGTCACCGCATAACGTGGCTGTTATTGTGTACAAAGTCCTCTTGGTTCTGCTCACTTCACTCAGCATCAGACCAAATAAGTCTTTCCAGGTTTTTCTGAAGTCAGCCTGTTCATCATTTCTTATAGCACAATAGTATTCCATTACATTCATATACCACAACTTGCTCAGCCATTCCCCAATTGATGGGCATCCTCTCAATTTCCAATTCTTTGCCACCACAAAAAGAGCTGCTATGAATATTTTTGTACATGTGAGTCCTTTTCCCATTTGTTTGATCTCTTTGGGATATAGCCCAGGAAGTGCAATTGCTGGATCAAAGGGTATGCACATTTTTGTAGCTGTTTGGGCATAGTTCCAAATTGTTCTCCAAAATGGTTGGATCATTTCACAACTCCACCAACAATGCATTAGTGTTCCGATTTTCCTACATCTTCTCCAACATTTATCATTTTCCTATTTTGTCATGTTGACCAATCTGATAGGTGTGATGTGGTACCTCAGAGTTGTTTTGATTTGCATTTCTCTAATCAATAATGATTTAGAGCATTTTTTCATTTGACTATAGATGGCTTTACTTTCTTCATCTGAGAACTGTCCATATCCTTTGAACATTTATCAATTAGGGAATGGCTTGTGTTCTTATAAATTTGTCTTAATTCTCTATATATTTTAGAAATGAGGCCTTTATCAGAGAGACTGGTTGTAAAAATTCTTTCCTAATTTTCCACCTTCCTTCTAATCTTAGTTGCATTGGCTTTGTTTGTACAAAAACTTTTCAATTTAATGTAATCAAAATTATCCATTTTTCTTTTCATAGTGTTCTCTATCTCCTGTTTGGTCATGAATTCTTCTGTTCTCCATAGATATGATAGGTAAACTATTCCTTGTTCTCCCAGTTTACTTATGGCATCAGCCTTTATATCTAAGTCATGAACCCATTTTGACTTTATTTTGGTATATGGTATGAGATTTGGGTCTTGTTTGCCATTTTTTTTTAACAGAACTAATGACATCACAGATGATGTCCTGATTTGGTTGAATTTGATTTAAGTGAGGCAGAGTTGCACAAAGTTGTCAGCCTCAATCTTTCTTCCAGAGTCATCAAAGTCCAATGGCAAGACAACAGTCAGGAGGACTGCCAATGGCTTGGGACGCAGCAGATGACTTTGGTGTCTTTGAAGTCTGACCAAGCTCTAAGTACTCCATAGTGACTGCTTCAGCTGCCTTCATGGCCACTGGAATAAAGTATTCTGATCTGCCCCTTCCACTGGGGGATGTCTTCATATGCGTCGAGTAGACATCCCCCTAACTCACCTCAACCTGGTTTAGTCCATCTGCCAAGACAGTCTTACTGGGTTGTGGCTGCTGTGCGTACTATAGCTTCTTGTAGCCACAGGTGAGAGTTGGGTGACAGGTAGATATCAAAGGTGGATGAACAGCCCTGAAAAGGTCTTGGCAAGGCTTCACATCTGAGGTGCTATTTCTCCTGGAACACCCCATTTTTTTTTCAAAAATACCATTTCCGAATAGCACAAAAATGTACTCTAACTCTTTTAAAAAGATTACATTACTGTTAAGCAGTATATGTGGTTTGAGTTGTTTTTTTCCTCCAATATCAGTAATGAATTTGAAATAACTAACCATATTTTACTACTCTACCTTCTAATGACCAATTGCACATAAAAAGCCAGGAAGAGTTAGGGAAGAAAGAATTTGAAGTATAAACTATTCCTGTGGAACGCAGTAATACAAAATAACCTCTTTAATGATCAACTCAAGATACTGATTTCATGAGAGTCAATTAAGTTAAGCTTTAAGATGTTTAAAGCACTGACATGCTTATAAACTGCAACCACAGAAATGAAAAAAAAAAGATATTGAGACATTTGACCTATATACATATATGTGTGTGTGTATATATATATATATATATGTATGTATATACATATATATATATATATATATATAAACTTTGTAATTACTTTTAAGCAAATATATTATGTATTTAAAACATGTCTATTTCAGGTAATCATTAATTTCAAATAAAATTAGGTTAACATTTCTTTAAATCTTTACACAAAAATGTATGTGATTCTCCTAGGATTTTTTTTCTCCTAAAGTAAGGAAGCAAAACTATTTATGAATTAATTAATAGAATATTTTTAATACCTTTAGGACAATTCTAAAATTGGATGTTTCAAGAAAAATTTGTTAATATAAGGAGTATCTTTGAATATGTAAAAATATTACCTCTCCTTTATATTCCACTGCTTTCAGGCCTGCATAAACTGGTACAAAACTGCTAGCCAAGAGAACCTAGATGTACGACAAAGAAAGACATTGTTAACAGACAAGTATTTATTTTCCTTTCCCATAAAGCTTACATGATTCAGTGATTATGTTGCATTTGAAAAGGTCTATGCAGAAAATACTATATTTTGAGAAATGTCTGTAATTAAAATAAATATGATACTTTTTGAATACTTACAAATACTCAAGATGTATACACAAATCAATTCTCTTTAAACTAACCAACTCTGTTTAAGTAAAATTAGTGGAAAAATAAATTTTCAAATCTAAAGTTAAATTCAGAGTACAAATAGATGGAAACAAATTATCTACTATATTTGCCATGCACTGTGCATTCATTTTAAAAGGAACAATTATCTTCTGCAACAGAACCCTCCACTCCCCAACTAAATCTGATTTCTGCAATGGATTCTAGCTTGCAGTCTGAGATACTCTAATGTAATCCATGACATCAAGATGTTGCTAGGGGAACAGGTTCTTATAACTTGGCCAGGTTACATTATAAAATGGCCACTATATACACAAAATGAATCTTGAGTTTCATCTAGATAGCTGAAAGGGGTATAGTTTGGGAGGTAAAATGTAGACAAGGCATTTTTCTAGCAATTTATATGCTTAACGTACTATGTACTTTTAAAAGAGTAGTGTCCTCATTGTTTGGTTGTCAGGACATCCTGATAATTTATTTTACCCAAAATATAAGCAAACTCTGAACCTAACCAACATTTATAATACTGTTTCTATGGGGAAATTTATTTTGAATTCCAACTTGTGAACTACCAATTTGGCACTTAAAATTTGCTACCTTATATTCCTATTTATCATTTTATGTATATATCCTCTTCCCAACTATATTATTAGTGTAGATTCCTTGTCCAGACCTGTAACTTCAGTGGTACATAGAATGCTAGGTGAGGAAACTCCTACTAACAAAGATAGCAAATGCTCTGCAATTTATAGTCTTAAGAGAATTTTCAGGGGTTAAGTGACTTGCTCAAGATTATACTTCCAGTATGCGTCTGAACTTGAGCTCAACTCTTCTTCACCATGTGCCTGTCTATCCATGACATCATGCTAACGAACTAGAGTATTATTAATAAGCACTTTCCTTTAACATGACCCTGTGAGAAAATATTCTCTTTTTCTTTCAGCAGAGCAAGTATCCCTGTCCCTACAGTCTGAAAATAGAAGCAAGACTCCATAGACTTCCATAGACTTCCACAGACAGCTCCCCTCCTAGCAGCACTTTGAAGAGCTGCCGATTTCTGAGTGGGAAGAGTGAAAGATTCCTGTAGGGGTTTCTTTATAGGGCATTGCAGGGTCAAAGGGACGACAAGAGCTGCAGGAGTGAAGGCAGCTCTCATGGGGGCTCCTGTTCTACTGGAAAGTGCTTCAGAATGTTAAAGTTGCACCACTAGCAAGTTCCTCTACTAATATTTTTAATTACCAGGAGTATGGAGGACAGCCAATCATATTGGCAAGTTGTTTATAAGGCAGATGTTTGTAAGGTAGAGGCTATCAGAATATACTTATTTTATAATTTCAGGCAAGTTGGATACTAATCTTTATTACATGTGCACTGTGATAATGAAAACACTTTGAAGCAACATTTCCAGGGTGACAGCATTCACATTTTTTTTGGTAGCACTGTAAGTGCAGTGCCAGATGCTATAGCATCTATAGAATCTAATGTAAGATTGGTAAATCTTACATAAAATGAAACAAATGCAGAAAAGTCTTTACAGAGTTTCAACATTAATTCTGAAATATAATGGCATTGTCTGACACTACATTAGCTGTACTAATTTAAAAAAAAACAAAGCTTGTATTACACGTTAAGCCATTTGTCTAAAAATTATAAAACAATTCAATGGTAGGCAGGGATCAAATATGGGTATAGCCAATTTGAACTACACCTGTATTGGTTAAGGCAACAGCACAGGTTCTCTATTTGCTGTTACTTTAATTGAATTTTCCCTATTATGAATTGCTTATTCCTTTAAAAAATATACTGACCTCAAGCACACTTTTATGGCCAGTAACAGGTAATTGCTATATCCCACTTTAGAAGTGGTAGAAGAAATATGTATGTAGCAAAGATATTAGAGTGAAATTATATCCTTAGAGATTTAAAAACTAAAGATACTATGCAAATGTTTTATCTCATTATACTGATAAGAAATTTATACTTTGAAAAAAAGAGAACCTTCACTCCTAAAAACTGGAAAACGCATTTTTCCATATCCTATTATATTGCGAAGTTCATAAATTAATGCTTGAAAACAGCTTTGAAGTGTTCAGATGAAAAAGGCTATCTAATTTTTTTTAATACATATATTAAGGCTAAGAATTTACATAAGTGATATGAAAAGTACAATGAACCGAAAAATATTTGTCACTTCTCTAAATCAAAGTATTTGTTTTGTCACAGCTTACTATCTTTTCATAACTACTTATAATCTGCTCATCAAAGTAAATTTAACAGGAAAATTAGCTTTAAAAGAGAATGAGGAATTAAGCTTGCTTTTCTCAACCATAATCAGCATAACACACTAATACTGTATCTAAGGAATTTTCCAGAGCAAAAATAATGGTCTTACAAAATTCCAAGGCCATAATGAATTGAATCTAGGTACATATTTTAAAGAACCTAAAATACTCATTTGCCTCAAAGAAACTTGTCTTCCTACTTAGAAATGAAAGCTTATTGATGGCAAAGAAGGGGTATGTGGTCTTATTATCACAGATTTAGAGATGGAAGGAACCTTAGAGGCTAAACTCCATCTTTTACAAATAAAACACCAAAAAACTGATACTCAGAAAGGGTAATTTTGACAAAGTAACTAAGTGGCACAACCATAGTATGAATCCATGGTATACATGGACTTAGCACGGTGCTTTGCACGTATTAGCTCAGTAAGTTTTATTTTGGAGATAGATATTAATCACATACATAAATGTTTAAGTGAAGGACAAAAGTCCAGTTTGACTATAATTATCCAAAACTACTGTCCCTTTAATACATTGAAAAAACAAGTGTTCCCTTTTCCTCTCTTAATTTTAGAGTTAATAAAGTGAAAAAGCATCTATAAAACTTTGTCTTAAGGCTTCATTCACATTTGAAGTTTACCATGGAGTTTAATGAATCAGGCTACTTTTACAAAACTTAATGGTGCAGTTACAATTCAACGATAGCCTCAAGTTTATCTTCAAATCTTCCCAAGATAATGGTTAATACTGTACTAAGTCTTATTTCACCTACAAAAGGCTAAATATTAGAAGATCTTGCTTCAACAGCAATATGGGCAATGAAATCCAATAGATCACCCAAATGACTTCACATGCTTTTACTAGATATAGGTTGACTCTTTTTCAGGCACATACTCTGAAAATAGCAACTGCAGGAACAAACCAATGGGACTATCTAGAGAGTGTAGATGAGACTTGTTAGCCAGGTCTTTTCACAATGCCTATATGTACAAAAACTTGTCACTGAAACCAAATGCATACGTTTTATATGAACTGGACACTTGAAGTAGACCGGACCACATATAACTGTTGGAGGAGGCCACTACCTCTCTCTCATTCTATCACTTACAGAATAATAATGAAGTGCCAATCAGCATCAAGCTACACATTCACAGTTTTCACTGACTACTGGTACATGTCTAGGTGTTCTGACCAAAATGTGATGGGAGATGCAGGAAAGGTGGATAACACATGTTCTTCTTTCCCTTCCATTCAGCTGAATCAACACAAAAAAGTTTCAGACAGGAGTGAAAAGGGCAGAAAACATTTAATGCTACTTTAGAATCACTCCAACTTTTCTTACGTAATTGTTGTTCAGGCATTCAGTTGTAACCAACTCTTTATGACCCCAAGATCCAAAGCACACCAAGCCCTTCTGTCCTCCACTATCTCCTGAAGTCTTTCTAAGCTCATGTTCAATACTTCCATGACATTATCTATTCATCTCATCTTCTGCCATCCCCTTCTCCTTTTGCCTTCAACCATTCTTAGCGTAGTCTTTTCCAAAGAGTCCTGTCTTCTCATTAGGTGGCCAAAGTATTTAAGCTTCAGCTTCAGTGTTTGTCCTTCAAATGAAGTAATAGTAGACACTACCACATACTTATACTACTGCTTATATATACACTTACAGTTCATGACCAGCTTAATAATTGTAAGAGTAAGACGGCTTTCAAGATGGACCCTGGGTATCTACAAATGGGTCAGTTTAACAAGTATTGAACACTCCTTCTAAGTAAGCATAAGGCATTGGAGATACAAAGCTAAAATGACAGTCTTTGGCTTCAAGGTACTTATGTTTCTATTAGAAGGGATACAACATGCACATAAGCAAGTAAAATAAAAGGTTGGTATTAAAGGAGAGATGAAGCCAAAGTACTCCTGGAATATTTGAAGTGGGAAGAGAGTACTTTCAACTGGAGGGATTAAGGGAAGTTAAAATTGGAAGAGGCTATACCTGAGCTAAATTGTGAAGGACAGTAAGGATTTAGAAAGGCATTCCTACTTGAGGAAGGAATAAGTGCAAAAAAAAGTTTCATAGGATCACATATCTAGAGTTGTTTGAACTCTTCTAATTCACTATATTAAAGTATGTGAAGTTTTAATAATCCTTCCAGTCCACGGTAGGACTAGACTTCCTTTGCTTCCCATAATAGGAATTAGTTTTCCCTAAAAAGCATCAAAGATGTCCCTGGAACTTGATTAGCGCCTGTCTCAATTGATGCAATCTCATGGTAATCCAATGGCATAAAAAATCCCACACACAATGCAGAAGGGTCCTTCTGATTTTTGAAGACCCTAAGAGTTACCATGCTCTTCAAGAAATTCTGCCCTGATGATAAGTTGTGTTTCCATACAAAGAGAAAGGGGACCATGTCTAGAGAAGCTAAATGCCACTGAATCATCGGTTGCCTATCTTTACTGTGGAATGGTGTTATAAATCTGATAAACAGTGGTGGGGGTAGGAAATGTTATAAATT